CAAATCTTGGCTATTATGAATAGTGCTAAAATAGACATGAGAGGAAAAATAATCTTTTCAATTTTTCAATATCCTAATCTTTCTTTTGGGCTTATCCCTAGCAGTGAGATTGCCAGATCCTAGCAGTGAGATTGCTAGATCCTACTGTAGCTATGTGTTTAGTTTTCTCTGAACTGTTCTACATAGCAGTTTTACTAATTTACATTTCCACCAACAGTGTACAAAGTTTTCTTCACATCCTCACCAGTATTTGTTTTGCCTGTCTTTTGGATAAAAGCCATTTTAACTGGGGTGAGATGATATCTAGTAGTTTTGATTTGTATTTCTCTGATGATCAATAATGTTAAACACCTTTTCATATGCCTATTTACCATTTTTATGTCTTTTTATGAAAAGTGTCTATTCAGATGATTTTCCCATTTTTAAATTGGATTATTAGATGTTTTCTTATAGAGTTGTTTGAGCTCTTTATATATTCTGATTTTAATCCTTTGTCAGATATCGTCAGATATATAGTTTGCAAATAATTACTCCTATTCTATGGATTGTCTCTTCTATTCGTTGATTGCTTCCTTTACTGTGAAACTTTTTAATTTGATGTAATCCCATTTTTTTCATATTTGTTTTGGTTGTCTATGCCTGTGGGTACTACTCATAAAATTGTTTAGAACAATATCCTGGATGGTTTCACCAATGTTTTCTTTTAGTGATTTCATTGTTTGAGGTCCTACATTTAAGTGTCTAATGCATTTTGATTTGATTTTTGTATATGGCCGGAGATAGGGGTCTAGTTTCCTTCTTCTGCATATGGATATATAGCTTTCCCAGCACCATTTATTGAAGAGACCATCTTTTCCCCAAGGTATGTTCTTGGTGTCTTTGTTGAAAATGCGTCCAATGTGTGTGTGTGTGTATATATATATATATATATATATATATATATATACACATTTGTTTCTGGATTTTCTATTCTGTTCCACTGCTCTATGTCTCTGCTTTTATGCCATCCCTTTATTTTCTGTCTATGTGTATATTTATAGGTAATGTATATTTCTTATAGGCAACAGAACAAATCAATGGGTCTTGGTTTTTGTTGTTTTTGTTGTTGTTAAATTCATTTAGCCATTCTATGTCTTTTATTCAAGGGTTTAGTCCATTTACATTCAATATTATTGATAAATAAGGACTTATGCTTGCCATCTTGTTATTTCTTTGCTGGCTGTTTTGTGGTCTTTCCTTCTTTCTTTCCTTCTTGTATTTCTTTTAGTGAAAGTGACTTTCTCTGGTAGCATGATTTAATTTCTTGTGTTTTGTGTGTGTGTGTGTGTGTGTGTATATATCCATTGTATATTTTTAGATTACCTTGGTTATCTCAGGTTACCATAAAGTTTGCAAATACTGATTACCATAGTTTACCATGAAGCTTGAAAATACTATCTTATAGTCCATTATTTTAAACTGATAACAACTTAATACCAATCACATCAGAAAAAAAATGAAAGAAAAACTCTATACTTTAACTTTGTCTCCTCACTTTTTAACTTTTTGTTTTTTAAATGTCGTATGGCACTGTCTATATCTTGAAAAGCTGTAGTTATTATTTTTGATTTATTGTTTAGTCTTTCTACTTGTTACAATGTTCTGTGTTTTTCTGTGTGCTTACTATTACCAGTGAGTTTTGTGCCTTTGGATGATTTCTTATTGCTTACTAATATTCCTTTCTTTTAGATTGAAGAACTCCCTTTATTATTTATCACAGGACAGGTATGGTGTTGATGAAATCTCTCAGCTTTTGTTTGTATGGGAAAGTCTTTATTTCCCCTTCACACTTAAAAGATATTTTTGACAGATATACTATTCTAGGGTAAAAGTTTTCTTCCTTCAGCCACCATATCATGCCACACCAAAGAGTTAGGTATTTATTTTAGTGTTTGCCATCTGGACTTTACAACCCATGCTCATCTTTGGGCCCCAAACCTGGCCTGTAAGGTTTCCACTAAAAAGCCTCCTGCCAGAAGTATTGGAGCTTGATTGTATATTATTTGTTTCTTTTCTCTAACTGCTTTTAGGACCCCCTTTTTTAATCCTTAACATTTGGGATTTTGATTATTAAATGCCTTGAGGTAGTAGTCCTTGTGTTAAATCTTCTTAATGTTCTATTACCTTCTTGTACTTGAATATTAATATGTTTCTCTAGATTTGGAAAGTTATTTGATATTATCCCTTTGAATAAACTTTATACTCCTATCTTTTTTTCTCTACTTCCTCTTTAAGGCCAATAGCTCTTAGACTTGCCCTTTTGAGGCTATTTTCTAGTTCTTGTAGGCATGTTTAATTTTTTTTGTTTGTTTAATTATTTTTAATTTTTTTTTCCTCTGTGTATTTTTAAATAGTTTGTCTTCAAACTCACTATTCTTTATTCTGCTCAATCAATTCTGCTACTAAGAAACTCGGATACATTCTTCAGTATGTCAATTTCATTTTGCAACTCTAGAATTTCTGTTTGATTCTTTTTAATTATTTCAATCTCTTTTTAAATTTTATCTGATAGAATTCTGAATTCCTTCTCTGTGTTGCCTGAATTTTTTCGTGTTTCCTCAAGACAACTATGTTCAGACACAGGTATACGTCTGAAGGGTCACATATCTCTGTTTCTCCAGGATTGATCCCTGGTGTCTTATTTAATTCATTTGAAGATGTCATATTTTCCTGCATGATTTTGATGCTTGTTTGTGATGCCATGTTTTCCTGGATGATTTTCAGGCTAGACACTGAAGAGTTAGCTGTTTATTGTAGTATTTGCCATCTGGACTTTACAAACTGTGTTCATCTTTCTTGGGAAAGTTTTCCAGGTATTCAAAGGAATTTGGGCTCCAAACTCAGTAATGCTGTGGTTCTTGCAGACTCATAGAAGTACCACCTAAGTGATCTTGCATAAGATCTAGAAGAATTCTCTGGGTGACCCAGCAGAGACTCTTATTCTCTTCCCTATATTTTCCCCCAAACAAATGTCATTTTTCTCTCTCTCCCGGTGTTAAGACACCTAGAGCTAGGGTTAGGGTTAGTGTGATTAAAGTTCCAGTGTGGTCACCAACAGTGGAATTGCCCTGCATCATACCTGAAGCCAGAACAGCACTGGGTCTTGCCCAAGGCTTGCTGTAACCACTATGTGGCTATTACCTATGTTTGCTCAAGGTCCTAGCACTCTGCAATCAAAAAGTGATGAAGCTAGCCAGCTTCGCATCCTTCCTTTCAGGACAAGTTAACCAGGCCATGAGGATGTTCAGAGATGCTGTGTGGGAGCCAGTGGTTGGAGTCAAAAATCTTAGAAATCTACCTGGTGTTTTATTCTACTGCAGCCAAGCTGGAACTCAAACCACAAGATAAAGACCTTTCTTCTCTTCCTTCCCTTTTCCACAGGGAAAGGGGCCTCTCCCTATGGCTACCATCATCAGCAGTCCATGGGGTGTCCTTTCAGGCTACTTCCAATATTCACTGAAGGCCCAAAGATTCTTTGGTCAGCTTGTGGTAATTGCTGCCAGCCCAGGGCTCACCCTTCAGGGCAGTGGGCTCCCCTCTGGCCCAGGACAAGTCAAGAAATGCTCTCCAAGAGCCTAGGCCTGGACTCAGGGACCCCAAGAGCTCACTTGGTGCTCAACTCCACTGTAGTTGAGCTGGTACCTGAAACCAGTACATATCAAAATCTCATCCAAGACCCAGGACATACTATCTGGATATCACTACTGGTTATTCAGGTCCCAAGGGCTTATTAGTCAGCAGGTGATGAATCCTGCCAACACTGGATTCTTCCCTTCAATGAGTCAGGTTCCCTTTTGGCCCAGGGTATGTATAGAAATGCTGTCTGGGAGTTTGGGCCTGGAATGAGGGCCTTATGACTCTGCCTGCTGTCATATCCTACTGTGGCTGAATGGGTATCCAAGATGCAAGACAAAGCTGTCTTTACTCTTTTTTCTTCTCGAGTAAAAGAAAAGTGTCACTCTCATTGCTGTGAGCTGCACTGCCTGGTGTTGGGGAAGGGATGTTGCAAGCACTCTCTTGTACTCACCAACTCCCACCAAGTTGATATCTCACTAGGTCATGAACCACTCCAGTCCACAGGCTATAAGTCTAGCACAGCATCAGGACTTGCCTAGGAATTGCAGTCCTTGTTTCCTAGACACTCCTTCAAGTTCACTTAGGACCCCAGAGAGCTTGAACTGGCAAGGCTTGCCAAAAAATTCAAGTTCCAGCCACTGGAATGGGTGCATCCCCTCTAGCTAGGGCTGGTCCAAATGCACCCTCCAAGGTGGGCACTACTTGAGTTCAGCAGTTTTGCTTTCCACTGTGACAAGGGAGCACTGGGTTCATTGCAAAGTTGCCCAGTCCGTGTACTTTCCCTCCACCAAGTGCACAGATTCTCTCTCCACACCATGCAGCTGCTGCCAGGGGAGGGGTGGCATCAGTGTGTCAATGGAAAATTCCTTGGGCTCCTTCAAGCTGTGAACTGCTCAGGACAAATCTACCTCACATTCTCTTCAAAGTCATCCCTTTGCTCACAGAGATAGATGAATATTCTGATTGCTTCTTTCGGAAAGACTTATCAGAAACTCAAAATAGTACAACCATCTGTCTCCCACCTACCTGTGGACCCAGAAACCACCAGTGAGGGAGCCTTGCTTTGAGTTGCCTCCACCTTTCTAGATTGAACTAATGTACTTCTTACATATAGTGATTGATGTCTAATGTCTCCCTAAAAATATATAAAATCAAGCTGTGCCCTGACCACCTTGGGCACATGTCATCAAGGCTTCCTGAGTTTGTGTCACGGGTGTGTCCTCAACCTTGGCAAAATAAACTTCCTAAATTAACTGAGACCTGTCTCAAATTTTCAGGGTTTACATTATTGGTAACCACAGAGGGATTCTGAGTGGAGATGCCTCTGGCCTTTGAAAAATCTCCTATAGGTGCTTGGTACCAGCATGAGCTCAAACCAATAGGACAATTTGCTGAGGTCTGAGAGCACCCCATCCAGAGAATCCCTGATTGCCCCAGATTTGGTCAAGATTGAAAGTTTATTTTGTGGTACAACTCCTCTTTTATTGGAGTTTTACAAGAAGGCAAATTCTTCTGCTTCCATGATATGGATGGCAGGTAACTCCTTTATGGAGTTGAGCTCGATTTCAACAGGAAAGATAATGAGGTTTTTTTTTTTTTTTTTTTTTGTTTTTTTTTTTTTTTTTTTTTTTTTTTTTTTCTACTAGGATGATAGAGGGCAGTCTATAGCCCGAGATCCACCACTAGGTAAGAAACTGGTTTGGGATTCTGTCTTGTAAATTCCTTTTAAACGACTAAAGATAGCATTTAACAATCAGCTGATGTTAATATCTGCTTACCCTTAGAGCACACATAAATCATATAATTTGTGTGATCATTGCTAATTTTGCTTAACTGTTTGTTAATTGTTTCCGTCTTGGTCAAATCCCAAGGGGAACCATAAATTATAAGAAACAAGGCCTCTGAAATGGGAGATAAATGGCTAAAAGAAAAGAAAAGAAAAGAAAGTGCATTACTCCACTTTCACACTGCTGATAAAGACATAGCTGAGACTGGATAGGAAAAGAGGTTTAATTGGACTTAACAGTTCCTCATGACTGGAGAGTCCTCAGAATCACGGTGAGAGGTAAAAGGCACTTCTTACATGGAAGTGGCAAGAGAAAATGAGAAAGATGCAAAAGCAGAAACCCCCATCAAATCTGATGAAACCATCAAATCTCATAAGGCTTATTCAATAACATGAACAATATGGGGAAAATAGCTCCCATGATTCAAATTATCTCCCACCAGTTCCCTCCCACAACACATAGGAATTAAGGGAATGCAACTCAAAATGATATTTGGGTGGGGGCACAGAGCCAAACCATATTATTCTGCCCCTGGCCCATCCAAATCTCATGTCCTTTACATTTCAAAAACCAATCATGCCTTTCCTACAGTCCCCCAGAGTATTAACTCATTTCAGCATTAACCCAATAATCCACAATCCTAGGTTTCATGGGAGACAAGGCCCTTCTGTCTTCGAACCTGTAAAATGAAAAGTAAGCTAGCTAATTCCTAGATACAATGGGGGTACAGATATTGGGTAAATACAGCCATGCCAATAGGAGAAATTGGCCAAAACAAAGGCATCACAGGGCCTATGCAAGTGTGAAATCCAATGGGGCAGTTTCTGCCAAATTCTATAAGGTGTCAAAATTTTGCATAGGGGTTACAAAACTGCAAATCCAGCTTAAATCAGAATGATATTTGCTAGGGTAATTTTTAATAAATAAGACATTGATATGGGTTTAATGAAAAATAGCTGCATCTTGAATTTAGTAAGATTACCATAACTTCTTATACTGTGGCTTTAGGCAATCTGGTTCACAGACAGTTAGAAGACTGTTATTGCCTTTGTTTCAAAGATAAACTATAAGTTCCTCCCAAAGTTAGTTTGGCCTACGCTTGGGAATGAACAAGAACAGCTTGGAGGTTAAAAGCAAAATGGAGTCAGGTCAAATCTTTTTACTGTCTCAGTTATAATTTTTCAACGGTGGTTTCATAACTTTAAAACATGACTATCACAGTTTTCATAAATAATCTAGGTAAACAAAATAAAATAATTAGGCAAATGTAATTGGATAAATACTTGTAGACAAATGGTTCATTATTTAGAATATAAAGTTATATTAAATTAAATAACAGACATTTCATTATTTTGATATTTGCCAGTAAATATTTGCCAGAAAAACATTATTGCTAAAAAAAAAGGTGAACAAGTTTTGTCTAATTCAAAGCTTATTTAAGAGTTAGGTATAAAGCAAGGTAAAAATGAACCAGGAATAAACAAGATGTAAAGAAAGTTATAAAAATAAAGAGGTATTTTTTTGAGGTAAAAAAACTTAAACCAAAATAATTTTATATAAGAAAGAATCTTTGTGGTAAATTTAGTCCAAAAATCATACAACTGGTTGTTTTAAAAGGGGGGATATTCAGGACAAACTAGAAAGTCTGAGCATATCACAAACAGTAAGTGTAAGTCACAATAAGAGAATTCATGCATTTAAAAAAACCCAAAAACTTTAATATAATTAAGTTGTCATATAATTATTAAGTTTTGGTTTGCATAGGAAAACAAAATAGATTTTTTTAAAATTATGGTTATTACATCCATGTATCTTCCTGTATGTGTTTTTAAAGTCTTTGTAACATTGAGTTACAGGGCTTTAACTCCTTGATCTAAAAAGGACACCAAGTCCTGCTAAATCTTAGACACTGACAGCAATTAAAGCTTCATCTTCAGGCCCCATAGAAGATGCTAATCAAAATAAACTGCATTCCTGAGAGGCAGGGTAAACAAAGTAAAGCTATTCAATTCTTCAAGGCCTAGGGACTATTGTGGAAAAGGTGGGTATGTAAGATTGTAAGAGCTGATTTTGAAAGATAAAATAATTTCAGTTTTTCTGTAAGTTAATAATTAGTTTCGAAGGCACACTGAAGCAAAACTAATATATGGACCCCTACATCAGATTAACAAGGTCTTCTTGAAGCATTAGCCAATTCCTTAATAAAGGTTATAAGGGTTATAAAAGGTTTATGGAAGTGATAGTTCATAGCCAAGATTAAATTTTATACATGGCTTACATAATTTTGAAAAACAAATGTAATTCGCTTCATACTGTTTATATTACAGCTTCTTGTTCAGAAAATTAAGTAACCTCTCTCAAAGAATGAAGGTTTTTGCTTTTTAAAATCCCTGAATTATCACTTTTAGTTAAATAAATGTCTTTATAATAACCTTTAATTCTACTTTGTAATATGAAATGTTTTAAACTTTTTATATTGGGCAAATTTCCCAAAATCAAATTATAAATTATGTTTTTTTCTAACTTAATTCATCCTTTAAGACATTAGCTTCCTTCAAGTTCAAAAATGACATAATTTGGCCTATTTGGTATAAAAATTTTACAGAAAGCATTTGTGAAATATGAAATGGTATTTGGTTTTCTTTGGGCTGTGTTTGTATAAATATATTATTGGTATGTATTCCAAAATTATAGGAAACTCCTGTAATTCTGATATAACTTAGTGTAAATTATCAGTAATAATCACAGTTGCTATGTTAAAATTATTATGTGCTACAGACGCAACAAATTTCCATGTCAATTGTGTCTTTAACTATGGCTGCCTTAAAATTTTGTTTTTCACCCATGGACAATTGTCTTGTTTTGTTTCTCTTTAGAAGTTGGTTTTAAAATCAGCTATAAAAACTCTAACAGGCACTCTTAAACGCAGGTTTCTAATAACTGGAGACTGTGACGTCAGAATAGAGAAAATACTTTTAGGACTCATGGAGAGCTAAAATGTACATGACTATCAAGTTGAATAGGAATTAACTGCATGGACTGAACCAATCTTTTTTGACTTCTGGCTTAAAATGTTTGTTGAGCCTTTGTTTTGTTTTTCAGAGTGTTAAAACTATTTGAGCGATTGACAGCTTTTAATAATTTAGTATACTCCTATGAACAGAGTTTGGAGCATATTTGTTTCTCTCTACCTCATTTCTCCAGAAATTGAAAACTATTTGCAAGTATTCTTAACTTATAGCAATAAGTTATTTGCATAAGTGCAATAAGAATCTGTTTTCATCTGTAAGGAAACAATTGTAGAAGTAGGTTATTTTAACAAGGCTTTGTCAGGAATGATGTGCTTTCATTTAAGGAACTGAACTTGGCTTATGAATCCAATAAAGCCCTTTGGAAAAACTGGCCTCATATTTTGTGTACATAGTCTCTGTACAGGGTTTCTTACCTGTGGCAAGTAAAGAATGTTACTTTCTGACAGGCACAGAAGCCCCAGGTTTATCTTGGAACCTCAAGAGGAGAGAAAATTCACTTAACACATGGGTATTTGATGGCACAAATACATGGATGGGCTTGGCTTTGAAAAGTCTTATTTGGGATCCTCCTATGGAACAAAGTTCCATCAAAGCCAACTTAAAAGCCTATGGAAAAAAATTATTATTGCTGCACTGTATACAAATAATTAGGCCAACTGTAATAAGCAAACCAATCCTACCATGATTTGTCTTTAGTAAAACTGGAATCTGGAGAGAGAGAAAAAATATGTTTTATAATGATTGTATACCTGTTGTAAGATTCTAATCTTGCCTAATTTTTTTCTTTCAATTTTTATTATTTTCTACAATTTGGACCAAATTCTAATTTTTCTTGGCTACAAGTCTTCAAAAGAGTGTTTTCAATTTTTTTCTTTTTCTTTTTCATTTTTCTTAATTTTGAGTCACTGAATACTAAGCTGTGCTTTCTTAAAACCCTAGGAACTGAAGTTTAACAACTTAAGCTTCAGAAGAAAGTAACAGTAAACTATTTACCTACATAAGTCACTTTCTTACCTGACTACTAATGTATGGACTTTAGAGTAATGTGACATGTACCAATTTTCCCAGGATAGTTCTTTTGTTTGTTATTTTCTTCCTTCCTCCCCACTATTTTCTCTCCATAGGACATGAGACTTTACAACATGCTAAACATTAGCTTTTAGGACCTATCCACCTAGAAATAAACTGTCCTAGCTGTAAAAGATCAGATGAAACCTGAGACCAGAGGTTCATTTTCTTATAAAATGCTTTCTCCAAAACATTTTTAAAGAAAAGAGAGGAAATGTGAAAGGAAAAAACCTTGGGCCCTTTCAAGCTGGGAACCACTCAGGACAAATCTGCCTCCCATTCTATTCAAAGTTATCCCTCTGCTTGCAGAGATAGATGCATATTCTGATTGCCTCTTTTGGAAAGACTTCACAGAAACTCAAAAGAATGCAACCATCTGTCTTTCACTTACCTGTGGTCCTGGATGTCCCCAGTGAGGGAGCCTTGCTTTGAATTGTCTTCATCTTTCTGGATTGAACTAATGTGCTTCTTACATATATTGATTTATGTCTCATGTCTCCCTAACATGTATAAAACCAAGCTGTGCCCCTACCACCTTGGGCACACGTCATCAGGACTTCCTGAGGCTGTGTCATGGGCATGTCCTCAACCTTGGCAAAATAAACTTTCTAAATTAACTGAGACCTGTCTGAATTTTTCTGGGTTTACAAGTGATTCAGGACTGTCTTTCCTACCCTCTTTAATGTCTCTTTTAGCAATATGAAATTAAAATCAGGTATTGTGATTGCTAATATGATGTTTGGTACTTATAAAGGTACTTTTTTGTGTGTAGATAGTTGATAAAATTTGGTATTCCTGAGAAAGGAACAATCAATGGATCATTTTATTTTACCATCTTGTTTAACTTTCTTCTTTTTTTAAAAAACTATATTTTTAGAGCGTTTTTCTTGGCAGGTTGTCCTTGAGATTACAGTGTGCATTTTAACCTAAAACAATCTACCTCAGATTAAGACTAAATTAATTACACTAGTATATTAAAATTTTGCTCAAATAAAGCTTCTTTTCACTTTCCTCCTTTGTGCTATGATCAGCACACAAGTTAAATGCTTATATTTCATAAGCCTATTTTATAATTATTGTTTTATGCAGTTATCTTGAACAATGGTCTCAGATGAACATGAAGTTCTTTTTAAGAACTGGAGTAAGGTAATACATGCTATACTTTAGCAAAGAGACTGGTGGCATTTTGCCATTGCCTTAGAGATTTGTGGAACTTTGAACTTGAGAGTGATGATGTAGGGTATCTGGCAGAAGAAATTTCTAAGAAGCAAAGCATTCAAGACATGACTTGATTTATTCTGAAAGCATTCAGTTTTATTTGCTAACAAAGAGATGGTTTGAAATTGCAGCTTATGTTTAAAAGGGAAGGAGAGCATAAAAGTTTGGAAAATTTGCAGTCTGATGATGCAATAGAAAAGAAAACCCAATTTTCTGGGGAGGAATTTTAACTGGTGGCAGATATTTGTGAATTGCCAAAACAATGGGGAAAATGTCTCCAGGGCATGTCAAGGACCTTCACTGCAGCTCCTCTCATCACAGACGCAGAAGACTAGGACAGAAAAATGTTTTCCTGTGTCAGGGTCCTTCTCTGCTCCTTTGTGCAGCCTCAGGACTTAGCACCCTATGTCCCAGCCATGGTTAAGCAGGGCCAACACACAGCTCAGGCTATTGCTTCAGAGAATGCAAGCCCCAAGCCTTGGTGGCTTCCATAAGGTGTTGGGCCTATGGTTGCACAGAAGTCAAGAATTGAGGTTGGGGAACCTTTG